TATCAATTTTCTGTCAGTGGTTAGCTTTTTCATTTTGTTAAAAGAAACCAGAAGTGATATGTCAACATCTAGAAATAAACACGTTGCAATTAGAATCATAAGAACTGTAGATTTGGAAAGGACACCAAGGGTCATCTAGTCCAACCTTCTGCAATGCAGGAATAAGGTAGGACATCCTGCATCTTATATCCCACCCTCTACTGTGATATGTAACCCTCGCCATCCCCACACAACTTCCGCTGCTTCCCTTGTACTTGACATTTTCTACTATATGATACTTTTCAATGCTCGTTTCCACAAACTTACAGATAATGAAAGTGGGAGTAGTCACCAAAATCCCTTTAAGAACCCACAGCAGAATATTTATTGCACACTGGTTCTCTGAAGCACTTCTATAGATGCACATAAAAACATTAGACAAAATTAAAGCAAAGTCTGCATAATAAATAGTGTAGACCATTTTGGCTCTCAGCAGCAAGAAGCATATGAGCCAAAAAAGATTCTCTTCCCAGGTGTTACATGATAGCAAGGTGATAGCAAGGTAATTAACTCACAACCATCTCTTGATTTTTCTATTTGTTCTCGAAGAAATCTGTCCTTGTGAAGATTGACATCGCCAAACCAGAAGTCCACTTGCTTTGCTATATCTGAAAGCACCTGTTTAACTCTAGACCTTTTCTTTTTTTCACGTTCCTTTCTTTGTTCAGTGGTTTCTTTTTCCATGGCTTTACTTCTTGCAGTTTCAGTTTCCATTTCTGTCACCCTCTCACCTGAAAATGAACATGAAATTATTATTATTTCTAGTCATGGGATTATACTGTGATCCTTTGAACCTTTACAACATTAAGGTTTGTAAAACAATGTTAAATGGGAAAGTTTTATAGAATTCTTACCCTGCTTTCCTCATACAACAAATGTGAAGTATGTGAATGCATTACTGTACTCTATTGACTCAGAAGCTTAGTAGAAACATTTTCTCCTCTACTTAGAAGGTGGTACTCTAAACACACTGGGAGCTAGACAATCCACCAAAGTGGTTTTAAACTGTTCTTGTGTTATTATGTTATGTCCTAATGTTGCTGTAACCTGCCCTGGGATCTTACCATAAAGGGAAGAAAATAAATAAATGTTAACCATTTCTCATTCAATGATTCTTTAAAGCTTTATTTTTATTTTTAAAATTCCTTAATTTTGTTTACAAATGCAACCCTTGCACAGAAACATCAGTAGTATAGGTTGCTTCCATATTATGGCCCTTTTGCACCACTGAGGCACTGCTTTCTGAAATCAGCTTAAAGCAAAATTAATAGCAGTGGTCAAGCTAGCACTTAATAATATAAAGATCCTTCTAATGGTTACTCAGGTCAGTTCCACTCAAAAAAGGTTCTCTGCAAGTTTTGTCATAAGAGAGAGAAAAAGAGAAATTAAAGACCTCCATCACAAGAGCCGACTTTAAAAAGTAATCTGCAGTACAATCTGATATATGTCTATTCAGAAGAAAGCTTCATTCATCATTTTAAGGCAATGGAGTATATGATTGCATCTATAAGAGAGGTTATTCAAAGAGAAGTAACAGACTGTTCATCAAGTAGAGGAGAAAACATTTGCGCTCTGCTTCTTATGTGCACAATGTCTTAACAAAAATACAACAGCTATAATAACTACTTCATGCAATAATCATTCTGACAAAAGCCCCTGCATCTTAAAATACAGCAATATCTTGATGAGAGACCTTACAGACTACAACATGAGTACTTCTACATGGAAGACGAGTGAAGCTCTTTTTCTGCTACGAGCTGACTATTCAAGATGATTAAGGTCAACATGTTTCCAATTATAGTTTCCAGTGATAAATGAGATCATGCTGTGTTTACTAGGGCAGAAATGCAACATAGGTACAACTCTCCCACTAAGATCTTTGGCTTACCAAAATGTCAGTACTGGATTTAACTACATAATGAACATAGGAAATTTATTCTAAAAACAGAAGGTGCTGACCACCATACATAGGGCTAATACAAACTTAATCACAGATGTGTAAGAACCACAATATAGGCAACATGTGCATGCCATTTTTCTTGGAAACTATAACACTGCAATACTAGTAACTGCTCTCTTGCAGTTATGAAAGCTTTAATAAACGATTACGACAAATTCATAGGTTAATCTATTCATGTCTGAAAGTAGGATGCAGCTTTTAGGTTAGACAAGCTAGCTACTCTAACCTTTGATAATAAATTGCTGGATACAATAAGTCAGGATATGTGCATTGCTATCATGCCTTGTTTGTGAGTGTATAAAGATATTTGGATGGTGATTTCTGGATAAAGAATGCTGACAACAAATTAGACCTTGGAATGATTCACCAAGGCAATTTCCTATTGTTGAGCAAGTAATTAAGGCAAAAGGCCACTGCACAATTAGTAGTCTAGCTTCAAAGAGAATCATTAAAGCAGCTATGCAAATAGATGGCAATTTTACAGTCTGTATTCTTTTTCTAACCTCTGCCCCAAGAAAACTTAGGTTCAATTCAGATGCACCATCCAACCATGATTTATCATTTGGCATTGCACATACCTTCAGTCCTCTTAGGAGCAGTTTCCCTCCTTCACTTACTGGTACTATTCACTAACCATTGTTTTCTGTGACATCCAAATGGGTGAAGACAGTTTTACTGCATTAGAAAAACATTTCCATCTTTCCAGGATACTATCAATTGGCTCACAATATTTCATCCACATAAACATTGGTTAGCAATAATCCTTCTTGAAGTGAACCTGAGATCTTATGTTGTGTGCTCTGAATTACAGCCTTACTGTGGATCTTGGGAATGCTTCTAGTCCAGTCAATTATACTGATTCTGATACAAACTTTCCAGCTGATGACCTCCTGTCATACTGTAACAGGCAAGTGTTGTTTCTCATGCACATTTCCCAACATGTCTCCTCCTCGAGATACACACCAGGTTGAAGAGAGTTCCTCATACCCCAAAATGATTAAATGTAGTGCTTATTCTGGTTTCAGTGGAATAATTCTAATCTTTTTAGTAGCTTCCTCACCTAGATCTCATAGCTTATTTCTGCACCACATAAGCACAATTAGTCTTGCTCAGACATGGTCTCTCTCCCCACCCATTTCAAAAGTAGGGATGTTTTTTCAATACTCCACAAAACAGAAAAATACAAAAGCAGTTATCCAACCCCACATCCACATTGCCACACGCCAGGTAGGGCACTGGTGGGCAGTTAAATCAACTTTGGTTTCAATTTTCCCTGCCTTAGGATTGCACTCCTAATGGATAACAAGAAATGCTACAAAACCCACACACATTTACTCAGGAGTCAAGCCGCACAGGACATAGCAGCATTTATTTCTGAGCAAACATGCGTATGGCTGTGTTATACATGATTTTTTTTCGGGGGGGGGGCTCTCCGGATGTAGAAACGTTGAGATGTGTTGTTTCCCAGTGAGCCAGATGATTTTAAAAGCATCTGATTTGGCTGGGTAGAGTCAGGTTCAGATTCCCACTCACTGGATAATCTTAAAACCAGCCATTATCTCTTAGCCGGGAGCCCACCTCACAGGGTTGTTTGTGAGGACAAAACAGTGGCGGTGCCATATACCGTACACCCCAGCCCCTTGGGTGAAAAAGGAGAATACAGTGGTACCTCGGGTTACATACGCTTCAGGTTAAAGACTCCGCTAACCCAGAAATAGTGCTTCAGGTTAAGAACTTTGCTTCAGGATAAGAAGAGAAATCGGGCTCCGGCGGCGCAGCGGCAGCAGGAGGCCCCATTAGCTAAAGTGGTGCTTCAGGTTAAGAACAGTTTCAGGTTAAGTACGGACCTCCGGAACGAATTAAGTACTTAACCTGAGGAACCACTGTATAGTTAACAGCTCTTTAATCAGTATTGTATTAGCATATTGTGTATCATTAACTCTGTGCTTCACAAGGCGAGAGAAGGGCGGGCGGGCGACGAGGCGACCAGCAAAGCACCTGAGTGACGCGCCCGCCTCGCGTCTCCTCAGCTTTAAGAACGACCGCGAGGCACCTTCCCGCCGCCCCGCCCCCTCCCCGCGCGTGACGCAGCACCCGCCGAACATTATTATTCACAGCGGCACAGCCAAGGCAAGCGCATGCGCGGACGTCACTGCAACGACCCGAGTCCTTTTAAAACGAGGAAGAACGGTTCACGCGACTCCAGTTTTAACCCGCCTCTTTAGCGCTCAACCCGCTTCGGGACTGACCTGATACCCCGAGACAGGGTGAAAGATGCGGGGCAACGTGACGCACACGAGGAACAAATACCGCTTCTAAGGCCTGGAAGAGCGGCGCTCCTCTACCTTCCACCCCCCCTCCTCTGTCACGCCGTCCTGTTAAATTCTCGCGCGATGCGCGGCAGACCTCGGCCTTCTACGGCCCTATTGGTTACCCGGAGTTCGCTTCTGCGCAGGCGCGCGCGCGCGATGCTTGCACATAGAGATAAGTATAGACTGACACTAAGCCTCCACGAAATAAAAAATTAAAAAAGGAGGCCCTTTACGTTTCCCTTTGGGAGCAAAAGTAGAACTGTTCTGTCCATAGGCATCTCCATAGTAACTACCCTATACAATTCCAATATAAATTACAGCGCAAAACCTTTCATGGAGACCATTTGGTTTTACATTCAGAATGCTGCAGATGGAATGCTGTTTTTGTCTCGCCGTTTAATCCTATACAAATTCATATTAGAGCGACGACGCTCAATACCTTCCTAGCAGTGGAAGTGCTCAGAGGTACTCATCCCGACAGCCACAATCCTATGCACGTTTTACTCAGAAGCAAGCTCCTCTCAGTTCGGGGGGGACTCCTCCCGCAGTTTAAAACCTCCCTCTGCCGCGTGGATCTATAACTTGTTTCTCTTCCCTTCTGGGGGTGCGGCAAGGCGACGTTTCCTACGGCGCCCGCTCTATCCGCGCCGACTCTATGATGGACGCTTCGCCATTGGCTGACGGCATTGGAGACGCTTCTCGGCGTTAGGCTCTCTCGGCTGACCCTCGCGTCGCGCGGAGAGGGCGTCATCGTCGTCAGCTGGCCGAGCGGGAAACTTCAGAAACTGGGAGAAACTGCGTCGGGTGTCGGCGGGAGAGAGATTCAGGCCGAAGCGCGCGACTCCGGTCAGGGCTCGCGAGTGAGTCGCTCTCTTTTCTGAAGGCAGCAGAGTCTTCGGTTCGTTCGTTCACCTTTTTTCGAGGGTGGCCGGCCGGGAACAGCGACTTCGGGGGGCGGCAGAGATTTATTTATTTATTGAATTTATATACAGTACCACCCTATACCCGGAGGTTTCGGGGCGGTTCACAGAACAAAATCAAAATATAAAACCACGAAATATATAATCAAAATAAAAACAGCAACAACCCAATAACCCCCCTCCCCAAGAAAAGCCACCTTTTAAAAGAACCTAGGATGTCAAGATTACTTGAACCTCACAGGATTGTTGTGAGGAGAGAGAGAGAAAGGAAGCCCGTAGGGGGAGAGAATAACTTATGCTTCCTTGAATTCATTGGAGGAAAGCTGGGATGTAGATATAGTAATAAAATAATAAACGAAGTGGCAGATGTGGCACAGTGCTGTCACTTGCTCACTAGGATGGGGTGGGACGAGGCAGAGTGGCGGCAAGGCATGAGAAAAGCACTGCGATAGTGCTACCCTTTCCTCGCACTGCCCCATCTCTTTCCCTTATTAAATATATTTTTCAACTGCTTGAGCGTTTTTAAAACAGTTTCAAAACAAAAATGAGTATTGGAGAAGGGTGGGCAGAAGGTTGGCTGGGATCTAAAGTATTGGTAGATATCTGGGCGATTTGAAGTAGATTGGTAAGATTTTCTAATGCTAATTGTTTGGCAGTACAGTAGCAACAACAAAACGATCCTCCCTCCCCAATTATACTAATGAAATGACAAAAGTACTGCAAACTCCATCCAGTTTGTCAGAACAAATCTATGTGTTTAGAGTTCCGGAATTCTAAGTGTATGTATTTTGCACCTGTCTCTCGCTGAGGGATCTCAGGGTCCTTTATTTTCTACTAGCACATCCTGCAATCTGTTGATCCCTGTTTTAGAGGAGATTAGTGTGTGATACATTGATTTCAGCAGGGTTCAGGACTTTGCTGCGCTCTCTCAATTCCCTTGTTCCCAAAAGAAAACTTTTTGCCTGCTGCTGATAGTCCTGTATACATTAATGGTATCAGTACTGAATGACTTTTTTTTATAAATGATATTTTTCATTAGATGTGATTGTTCCCATTTTAGATTTGTGGTCAATGAACTAAACTAGTTAGCAGATTAATCAAGATATCATTTTACAGATTTAATGTTTTTTAAGAGAAACGTAGTGTATTGAAATGTGAGACACCTTGTGGTAGTTTTATGAAATTGAGGCTAACAAAGAAAAATGTCTCTCATGCTTAACTACTAAGGTATAAGTTCTTTACAAACTAAACTGGAACTAAGCCCCATTGAAAAATGGACATACTGTATATAGGATTACACTGAGAAGACATAAATGAGATTGTATTTTAAATTGCTTTTTTAACTTCAAGGAATTTGGATTGCAGTTAAGGAGTTATGGAATGGAATATAGGAAATATTTATTTTAAAAGGAATGCATGTGTGTCTCTGGTTTCTGGACATTAAGTTCAATTGCTTTAAACAGGATATTATTTCTTTCAGGTGGTATAAAATTTGGAAGTGCAAGCCAGCTATGATGGCTTCTCAGGAATTTACGGTGAGTTTCTGATATTTCAACTATATATTATATGGAGCAATATTCCACATACATCAGGATGACATGGCATCCCTCTGAGATGGCTCACAATCATCAATTAAAAATATAATACAATGAAACATAATAAAATTAATTTTGAAATGTCACTGAAATGTTTGTTTATATATCACAACAGGTTTTATACACACACCAAAAGACTAAAAAATCTAAAGTGTGGCAAGACGGAATTTTGAAGTCCCCTCTAGGGGGCAATAAGGTAAAATATTGATTAATAAAGTATTATACTGATACCATCTGTGGGTGTTACTGTTTTGTTGCTCAATGAAGTACCATTCTTCTATTTTTCTTTCTGCTGTAATACAGGCAACTTTATGTGATGACAAAGGACAGGTTTTGGATAGCATATTTGTGAAGTTCCAGGTACATGCTTTTAATTGTTCTTAATTTTTTTACTTGATTAGCAATTCTGGAAGACAGGTTGCTTGTTTAGTTGATCCAAACTCTTGCTGGCTTATCTTGGTCACATTTGTTGAGGCCCATGGAAGGGAAAGAAGAAAGCCAGCAGGGTTTACAGTGCCTGCTGTTGCTGTCCAAAGTGCCAGGAAAAAATACAGCATTTTTTTGCCGTCATCTTCCTGGTGCTTTGCACAGCAGCAACAGGCACTGATATCCTTTCACCCCCTTCCTCCTCAGGGATAGGTGTGGGTGGGGATGAAGCTTTCTTTTTCTCCATTGTTGAGGATGAAGGAGGAAATGAAAGCTTCCAACCTTCAATTTGGTATATATACACATTGCATATATAACGAAATGGTGGAAGTTGTATTAATGCATTATGTGTTCCATTCAGTATGCATTCATATATACTCTCTACTACATATTTATCTCTTTAGGTAAAGCCGGGAGATGATTTAGAAAGTGAGAAATATTTAATCACAGTTGAAGCTGAGAAAACTTCTGAAACTGGTTTTAGTGATCAGCCAAAGAACACAGAAGTACCAGTGTTAATAAGAAATCATTTGAAGTCTTCTGCCTTTTCATCTCTGCGTCTGCCAGTTGGCCTAAAACGAAAACATACTGTATGTCTTTCTCCCTCTCCTTTTTACACTCACACAATGTAGAAGCCTTTTGAATAAGTGAGAGAGATAGAGATCTATAGCTAGTTAGAAATTGGGGGGGGGGGGAGAGAAAAACCAACTCTGATTTTTTACAATTTGAACTGCATGTGACAGTTTCATAGATGATCGTTTTTATCTCTAGCCTCTTAAGTACAAAGTGTGTTACAATATAAGGTGTTCTAAGTCACTTACTGTATTGCTCACTGGCTAACACCAGTAGATATAATGCATAATCAGGCGAGTGAAACACAGTAAATGGAAGCAAATTGTGCAAGGGGATCCATCAGCTATAGAGCAGGAAGTGCTTTGTGGACACTGATTAATCAAGTGGGGTGACCATGCCCACTGCTGGCTGAAGGCTAATCTTGGGGGAATGTGCCTCTTGGGTTGTAAAATCCATACAATACATAGAACTGCACATCATTGTTTCATAGGCTCAGGTGGGGGACCTCGTTACTATTAAGGAGACTGTAAAAGTTATTTTATCCTACTTAGATGTATTCAGATTTTGTTACATAAAAAACACATGCTTTTCAGTCTTTTTAATTTAGTGATTCAGTAAAATATTGCATAACAAATATAGAACAAGTAAATACAGTATAGTAATATCTCTGCTTCTTAATTCTAAAACTTCAATTGTTAAACTTCCCACAAATTGAAAATATTCTCTTCTTAGGGTTTCCAAGGGCCACGGCAAGTGGAAAAGAAAATGACAACAATGGAAGTATCTGCAGCAGTAGCATCACCTTCATCCAAGGATCCTCATTCATCCTTCCCTTCTCAGTTCTATGCCAGTTCCCCTTTATTTTCTGTCCCCTACAATACTAAGTTACACTCAGAATTGAATCAGAACGCTTTCAAAGTGAATGGCTCAGATGCTGATTCTGTCACTCCACCCGCTTTTACTCATAAAGTGGTACAAAGTAGAATCCATAGTACTGATGGTGAAGATGGTGAATATTTGGAGCCAGGATTTCAACTGGATAACGGAATGGCCAAATCAATCTACCATGCAAGTAACAGTGTGGCAGTTTTGCAGAATGCCAGAAGTAAAGCACAAATCTTAGCAATTCTGAGCGGGGGACAAAAAAAAGTTTCAGAGGATGAAACTAATATATCATTGGGAAATCAATCACCAGCATTGATGAAATCAGAATTCCATCAGGAAGGCTCACTTTTATCTGAATCACCAAGAAGCACAGAGTCTTTCTTCAAAGAAAAGATGGCACCTCTTTTGAGCTCTGCAAACAACACAACCAAAGAAACCATTAAATATATAGCGCCACTGCATTTCTCAGAAAAAAATGTAAAAACAAAAAGCCGATGGGATGTATATTTGCCATTGTCTTTAGCCGAAAAGTCTCCTGACAAAGTTGAGGGAGAATACAATGATAAAAATGCTAGCGATCTTCAGGACTTGATGGAAGATGGCACTGATAATAGGAGCCAATACACTGAGGACCATAAAAAAATTCTAGAAGTGCCTGTTTCCTTGGAAATCAATATGTCTCCTGTCAGTAATAGTTCCGTCAAACACCAACCACATAGTATTGTACCAGCTAAATCAATTGTGTGGAAAGAGAATGGCACAGTTTTATCATCTGTTGATAGTATGAATTACTCAGATTGTAATGCTGATAAACTCTCCACATCCAATAAATGCACAGAGATTGATAATTTGGATGGGTTTTGCCATCAGACGCAAAATGAATCTTATCCAGTAATATGTTCTGAACGTTTCTCAAATAATTCTGCAGATGAAGAGTTTGGTGACACAGAAAAGCAGTTTATAGAGGTTAACTTCAATCTGTTGGATAAACTAGAGTTTAGTGACACAGAGGATGGAAAACTTCATACCAACCACACATTTTCACAAGGTTCAGCATGCTTTAAGGGGGAAACTGAAGCACCATTTGAGACCGGTGTTCAAGTGAACAGTAACATAAAAGTTTGTAGTAGTCAAGGGGAAGATAATGTACAGTCCACATTTCTGCAAGGTGGAGGTGTGAATTATGTCTCAGAATGCCAGTCACTGCAAGTTTGTGATGAAATCTCTGAGGAACCTAACAAGAAGGAGGAAAATTGTGCAACTCTTCCATTTCTTAAAAAGCTGCCACATTCAGAGGCTATAATTGTTGATGAAAAGGTAGAGACAAATGCAATAAATATCCAAAATATATGTAATCACAGAGATCTTGGTACAGACTTGTTAATGGTGAATGATATGGACTGTGATGTGAATGATAGTGAATATCATAATCCAACAACTCGTCTTGGAAAAGGGAATGTTCCTGCTATTTTACATGGTTGCCTCATGGACAAAAGTAATGAAGAAGGTATTGAGGTTGAAGCAGGTAATTGCCAACCTAGTTCCTTAGGTATTTGTCATAACAACATGAAACAGAGCAATCATTTGCTAGTCCTCACTGAAAAATACAATATTTCTCATGGTTCCCCTCAGTATATTTCAGACAAAAATGATGCTGCTTCAGAAAAAAATCTGGATTTGAGGCAACTCCCTCATCCCTTAACTTGTGAGACTTCAGATGAATCACAAATGGATCGAAATGAAAATGCAGTTAATAACTTGGATTTTTTTAACAAGTTCAGTAAATATGAAGGAAAGGATTCTATTTGTGTTGAATCTTCACTTGACTCTTCAAGCCTTCCCCAGCTGGTAAATGGTTTCAGCCTGTTAAAATCACTTACAGAACATAGCACAGCCTTAGAAAGCCTGCAAATGATAGAGGAAAGTACTTCTTTGCTACCGAGGGAGAGACTAAGAAAAAAACAGAAGCCAACAGGACCTAAAGGTTATTAGCTTCTATTTTTTTTTTTTAGAATTTTGTTTTGAAATATTGATTGTACTTTTCTACTGGTTTTCCTAGTGCGTTTTTCTAGAATGGAAATGTAAGGAGAGCTAATTCATTGTCAAAAGCAGTTTTGTTCTGCATGTGAAACAGTCTCCTTGATTATCCTGAAATAAAAGAGATAATAGAATAGGGATGGGGAACCTGTAGCCCTCCAGATGTTGTTGGACTTCCAACTCCCATCATCCCTCCATTGAGCATTCCTAAGGAAATGTCTTGTCCATGGTGAGATCATGTTTTGTTTTGCTCCAAACAAACCACACTATACCCAAGGTTTGTTACTGGCTTTCCAATAGTAGTTTGGGTGAAGCAAACCACAATCCACTTTGGACATAATGGTAAGCTAGGGATCATGGTTTGGTTTTTTTCATGTGCTTGTGGGGAGGAGCAAAACAACCAAGTCCAGCAACTTAATGGTAAACCAATATGGTTTACGGTAACATCAAAACAAGACCAGTGGATTTCTTTGCAGCATGTTTGTCACTGATGTGGCTAATAATGCTAAAATAAAATATGTGTAGTTAGCACCTAACATTCCTATAAGCAATAGCATTGACTTTGGAAACATCACTCAACTTGAATGCAAGATAGATCTTCAATATTTTTTATCGCTGAACTAGCTTCATGCCTGAGGCTTATTGTGCTTTTCTCTCTTTTGTAGTTATGCAACAGTTTCCTGACGTTCCCCTTTCTGAAGATGTGCAGATAACATCTTGCCTGCGTTCTGGTTCTCCTAAAATGGTAACCTTTTTGGACTTTTGTAATTCATCACTAATAGCTTTTATGTAAATATCCCATTACACAAGCTGAAGGCCCATCTACTTGTATGTATTTTCCACCTCACTGTCGTCTTCTGTGTTCCTATCAGCCACCCCCTCTGAACACCTGAAAACTGGCTGCAGAGAGTAAGAGGCCCTCTACAGCAAGTTTTGTGAGATGGAGTAAAAATTGCCAACACTACTCCACACTCATTGGGGCATAAAAATTAAAATTAAAAATTAAAGTAATAGTAATCATCATCATAAATTGTGGGTATTGGAGAAAACGTATTTCATTTGATAAGTTCACTGCATCATCGTGTTAAAGAAAATTTTGAGTTGAGATGGTTTGTGGGAGAGGATTGCAGTAGGTAAAGGACAAGATAGAACATTTGCTCTACTCCAGTATGGAAATTCATTTTTCCTACAGAAATGTAAAATAGATTTGTAGGGCTTTTGCTCATAAATAGTTGTTTTAAGAAACTGTAAATTGTATTGCCTTTCAGCCTTCTGAAGGCAATGAGCTGGTTGTATTATATCACTGCGTTTCAAAATGAGACTGTACTAAGTACAGAATGGTGCATCCTTCTCTTGACCCATTTCTGACCATTTCCAGGATACTTCCTCAAACACTGATGCAGAGAAGCCCACAGCAGCTACAGTAAACATGCTACATGACCAGGTTCCTTTTGAAGTGGCTGACAGTCAAACGAAGGTATAGCTTACAAAGAGATGACTTGGAAAACCTCCCACGGCCAACACCTCCAAAAATTTCACTGCCACCATGCATCTCAGGACCTTCTCAGACTACTTTTGAAACTGGAATTTTTAAACAGCAGTTTGTAATATGACCTGGAGGGCCAGGTGTAAAACGTCCACAGTCTGTGCAAGCTCTTCAGCACACCTAAACAAGCTTTTTGGAACCTGGGTACTAACTCTTCATTGACAGCATTAAAGTTGCCATCTCATCTCTTATTTTATCATTGAAGGCTAATTTTCAGTGGTATAATGAATAAGGATGGCCTCCTAACCTCTAATGTTGATGGCTGAGGTTTGCTTAGAATAGTTGTTCAGCTTCTCTCATCCAGCAGAGATGAGTAGAAAGCCCTGGGGTGGGGCTGGAATATGGATCTATTGAGTGGCCCAAAACTCAGGCTTGTTGGCTCTTGGCTGGCGTTCCAAAAATGTGTGACAATCCAACTCCCACCTTCTACCCTGGCAGGCCCAAGCAACAAATACTTTGTGCTAAATTGTAGTTCTTTGTTCTCCTATGATTTCCTTTTATTAATCTATCTCTTAAATATATGTAGCTAGTTGAATTTCAAGGGTACCAAGTGAGAGGATCTGCAGCTAGTGAGATAATGATGAGAGTACCCTCTTCACATCTTAGATGGGATCCACAGGCTGATATGACAGAATTTGAACTTGCTACAAAGGATGGCTGTTTTTTCTCAGCCCAAGAACTAGGCAGCCCTGTGCTGCCTAGCTTTATTCAGGTAAACTGTAGAATGCTTTTTATAGAAAGCTTTATTTAATCAATGAACATATTGCAAAAATGTGAAATAATTTATTAAGTGACCATAAACATGGTTTAAAAGACTACATGAAAGTTGCAAATAAGGACCTCTGTTGGCCCATTCCTGACGTAAATCTGTCAATGACTTCTTTGAAAATGCGTTCATATACTTTATTCCCTTGGTCCTTCTGGTGCATTAAACATCTTCATTAATATGTACATGGTGCCACCTTTTAACCCCTCTTCAAAATTCACTGTTTCTGTAAACCCTGGTTTAGTCTGAATTTTCATGGGGTAGCAAAAAACAATTATGTGTAACTGTACCTGGTTACACCTGTCATTTCCTAGGCTTGTTTCTTGCTTCATTTTGTTATTTTTCCCTGTGTTGATTTTAGATTTTCTCCTGTTTTGGGGCGTAAGGACCCTGCTTTCTTTTCTTTTCTTTCTTTTGCTTGAAACTTTGTAAAGCATTGTTTGAAATTTCTGTTGCATGACCAGAAGCCTGTGATGTTTGGGTATCATTCATTATCATTGTTTTGTTTTTGTGTTTTGTTTGTAATTAAAAGTAATGTGAAAGATCTAAGTTCATTCAACTGGGTGTTCTTGATTTTTTAGCTTTACAATTGTTTCTCTGCAGTCTTCACAGCCTCCAGACTGCCACTTTCCCCCAAATTCAAGCAGTGAAAAGGCAGTGATAGAAGCAGAAGAAAACTATTTCCTGGTGACAAGGGTATCTCCAGATTTACCTATGGACAACGCAAAAAGCTTTTTCCGTAAGAATGTTTTGTTTGTTATTGTTGTAAATAATGGTTGTGCCAGCAGACATAATAAGGGGGGAAAGTAGGCACCCTTGTGCAAAAGTTGGCTTGTAAGTGTTGGATACCAGAGTGATAGATCTCAGATTCTTATAGCATTGCAGTGAGATAATATGTACATTCTCAGCGTTCTCAGCCTGCTTTGATTACATGTACATATTGTAAGCTTTTAGACAATGGGATTTGTTATTCTGGCTTAGAATTGTTATTGGAACAAACGACTTGGACTCTGCCTCCCCAACCCCCATGAATGGAAGAGATCCTTCTGCTCATGGAAGGACATCTTTTGTGAGTTCCATTCTTCTTCTATGAACAGATGCTTCTTTCATTCATTGAGTTTAAGATTAGGATCCAAGCCAGTGTTTCCTTCCACACCTCAATTATTTTCTCCAGTATGAAGCAGCGAACAAGTTTAACAAGTGAGAATCTAAAACATAGTGTTCTGAGAGCCAGTGTGGTATAGTGGTTAAGAGCGGTGGACTCGTAATCTGGTGAACTGGGTTCGCATCCCCGCTCCTCCACATGCAGCTGCTGGGTGACCTTGGGCTAGTCTCACTTCTCTGAAGTCTCTCAGCCCCACTCACCTCACAGAGTGTTTGTTGTGGGGGAGGAAGGGAAAGGAGATTGTTAGCTGCTTTGAGACTCCTTCGGGTAGTGATAAAGCGGGATATCAAATCCAAACTTTTCTTCTGGTGTATCCCCAGCTCATAACAAGAGTGCTCCTCTTTAGGATCTCAGCCACCCTAGGAAAGGAGTCCTTTATGAGTTGGTGAAAGGAGGGAGGAGACCACTTTCCCCCACCCCATCCTTCTGAAACCTTCCTCTGTTGTGTTGTATATCACTGAATGGCTCTGGCTGAGGTCTGACTATCAGCACTGAGCTGTCCTAGGTAGAATACAGTTGTACCTTGGAAGCCGAACGCCTTGGCTCCCGAACAAATCGGCTCCTGAATGATCAAAACCTGGAAGTGACTGTTTGGAACGATTTTCAAAAGCTGAACGTCCAGCACAGCTTCTGATTGGCCGCAGGACATTCCTGCAGCCAATCAGAAGCTGCGCTTTGGTTTTTGAACGGTTCCAGGAGTCGAATGGATTCCTGGAACGCATTCTGTTCAGAAACCAAGGTACCACTGTAATTAAGATACACATTACTATCCACATCAAGAACCTTTTCTCAGTTAACTGGCTATGCTAGATTTGTCTTAATCTTTTAAGTAAGAAATGCAAATACAGCCAAAATCTTTGCGGTAGAAAAGTCAAGATTTAAGGTAATTGGAGTAGAGCACCCAGGAAACTTGGAGAGAAGACATTGTTTTGAATATTGACACTTTCTAAAACTCTCTGCTTCATAGAGATGGAAGAGTCCAGCTGCCCAGAAGATGATGATATGTCTATACTCCTACTGCCCCTTAGAGCACGAACTCCAGTTGTGACTTTACCTGTAGATGGAGAAGTTCCTGACTTAGTTTATTCCAGTGTAAAGACATGTGAGCGAGGCCAGCAGTCCTTTGGCTTCTCGGGAATAAGCATGTATGGCAAGTCAAAAATATTAGGGCCTGAGGACAGGATGTGTGAAACCTTTGTGCGTGAAAAGTGTAGAGAAGAAAGACATGGGGTGATCACACAGTCTGCATTCCCTAATGTATCAGAACAAAAGAGACAAAGCAAGTGGCAGAAGTACCAAAACACAACTCATAGTGACTTGAGAACTCAAAACAGCAGCGAAGTGGTCATGACTGATGACATCCGAGCTGAGAGTGCCTTTGGAATGCCACTGCATGACATAGGAGAGGGTTGGAGTCATGCCATCAATGAAAGCCCTCCAGACTTTGGGCATCCGCAAATGCTGAAAAGCGTGCTTTGTAAACAGCAGCGAAACTTTAGCAGCCAAGATTCTGTTTCAGAAGGACAGAAACTTTCTCTGCACTTAAATCAGAATTTTTCCACTGAGGAAGGACTAAAGGTGCTAGGTCAGCTGAATTGCCACAGTTCAACCAGACACACCAAGGTATATAACTCTTCACAAAAGTCTTAGGAATAGATTTTGCCAAAGCAGCTTCCAAAAGTAGTTGTGAATATTTGATAGTTTAGTCATATGTTCATCTATAAAGTGGTTTGTTTGTTTTTAACTTATTCAAATAGCATTTATGGCTCAATTTGAAATATTATATAAAGGAAATCAACCCTGATCTTGCATTTTATTGTCTACTTCAAAAAATATTTCACTATAGAACATCAGGTTCCTGACAATGCTTCTGTTACAAAGTCCTTGACCACCCACAGATGTGGCCCAGTGGCATAGCTGTCAACTGCCCCTTATTTGGCGGGAAAGTCCCCTATCCCAGCGTTGTGTCCCGCTGCTGTCCCTTATTGATGATGTCCCTTAAATTTCCTGGGTTTCAAAGGAAGCAGCTCCTCTCCTTCCCTCCCTGCTGGCCAGGGAGGAGGGAGGCTCCAACTGTGTTGTTTGGCTGTGTTGCTCACCCAATAAGGAGTCTAAGAATGACTGGGGGGTGGAGCTTGCATGCCTTGTGCTGATCAAATCGGCCACGTTGCCTTGGGACTCACCTTTGCTCAGTGCTTCCCAGAGGAGAGGTGACGGTGGTTTTCCTTGCTGCATCCCCTTTGCCGGGTTGCTGCGCTGTGGGAACCACTGCTTGAGGCTTCGTTTGGCTGCTGGCTGGGCTTTCTGCCTTTGGCTTAGAGGGGCTCAGAAGTTGAACATACCTGTGCTTGGAAAATCCCTTATTTTGGCTGCTGGTCTCTTATTTTTGAGGCTGCTGGTCCCTTATTTTCAAATCTGTAAGTTGACAGCTAAGCCCAGTGGAGGTGGGAGTTATATGTCCTTGTACTATTTTATAGTCCTTAGGGTTGCTGCTTTTCTTGATTGCAGAAATGTAGGAGAAGGGGCTTACAAGCATCCTCTTCCTCTTGTTCCTGCTCAGTGTTTTGACTCAGCAGTTCAGCAAAGAACTGGACTGTCTCCCCTTGTATATGCATTGCCATGTAGTGCTGCAACCAGAGCAATCTCACAAGAGTCCCCTTTGCTATTCACAAGACATCCTGCAGGTGGTGATGTATTTGAAGAGAGCTGAAAACCTGTTGCCATAGCAGTAGTTTTCCCACAGCTATGGCGACAAGTCTTTGCTCACCCCATCACTCACTGTGGCTCTGAGAAATGAAGGGAACCGCATGTCCTTTGGATGTTTTGTTTTTCTTGTCTCTGTAGATGCTGATGGAATGGAGAAGTAAATAGGCATTAAGAATGCAAACATGAATATCTATAAATATCCCCATGGTTGCAGTTTGTGGGCTATTTAATGTCAGTGTGGAATAAGAGGGTGGTCAATGCTCTAATTCTAATATAATGTGCCTGAATATATGTTACCCATGTATTAAATCAGATAGAAAGGAAATATGATTTTACATGCATACCTTTTATTTATATTTCAGAACACCTGTGAATTGTTCTTTCCCAGTGTAGAAATGGTGAACTCTACCAATGTTCCTAAGAGACAGATGTATATCCCAGCTGAGTTTCAGTCTCCTGCACATTATAAGCAGGTTTTTACTTCTGCTTTGATGGGTATGACTAACACCTTTAATTTCCACATTGCAGTACATTCACTGATGGTTGTTCTTAGGGGGCAACAAAATCTGAGATAAAATATTGAGTGAGTGTCCTCATAACAGTTTTTTCAACAGTTGCCACATGTATTTGGCCTTCAAAACCACATTCTCAGCCACCTCTATGGTTGCCTGTGCAGTCTAAATTGCACCATCTCAGAAAATCTCATCTGTGCATTGTTTTCATTTTTGGTTAAAAGCACTCAAAGGGTCTCTGTATTTTATTGGAGAAGCAATGCTGGAGAAGAGGATGTTTAACTGCTTTGTTCCATACCACTTTCCCAGTCTAAATTGCTTCTTGCAAGCTGCATTTCTCTCTCTCTCTTCCCACCCCCACCAACCAAGATTAACAAACTTTTAGGGGACCAAATTTAGAATGGGTAGAAGGATTAAATTTCCCATAATTGCTGTTCACCCCAACATTTAAGTGCAAATTTGTTTTTAATTGCAAATAAGACTATCAGGAGTTCTAATTATGGTTCCTCAGCATAATATGTAGTTTTCCTTGGGAAAAACAAATGGCATACCAAAAGATACAGTATGTTACATATGAAGTACGAATGAGAAAAAATTATAAAAGCCACAAACCCATGGATAAGCAGAAGGCAGGACTTTGGCTTTATTTAGATGCTTCATTGCCAGTGCTCTGGGAGTAGTTGAATTGCAGTTGCTGAGCTGGAAAACCTTCAAAACATTTGCTATTGTTCAAAGTATTGAACCTAAAATTGTGGAAAACGTATTTGATTCTTCCTCTAAGTCAGCAATCACTGGGTGTTTTAGCCACTGCCTGAAGACAATTCGCAAGTTGTATATTTCTGGGGAGCCACTTTGTGGTAACTATTTATTTATTTACTTACTTCATTTACGAATTGCTTCCTATGCAACGCCTAGATAATGGTCAGGCTATTACAGTCCAGAGATGGCCATACCATAGCAGTCTTAATTGTCAAAGCTGGTAAAAGGCACTCTTGCCCACTGAGGGCAACAGAATGAATCCAGGAGCACTCCCGATACTGATCCAGGACTTTCAGGGACTCTTCTCAGTCATGTGTTACAGACAAAGAATCAGTTATCAGTGTATCGAGGACACCTCTGCAAATCTAATAACTGCTCCCAACAGTTTCATATAGAAGAGCATTGGGGACAAGATGGTATCTTGCAGCATCCTTCAGCATAAGTGCCATGGGGTTGAAAAATGACATCCAACCTGAAACTGATTGCCAAGATAGAATTAGGTAAAGGTAAAGGTACCCCTGACCATTAGGTCCAGTAGTGACCGACTCTGGGGTTGCGGCGCTCATCTTGTTCTATGGGCTGAGGGAGCCGGCGTTTGTCCGCAGACAGCTTCCGGGTCATGTGGCCAGCATGACTAAGCCACTTCTGGTGAACCAGAGCAGCGCACGGAAACGCCATTTACCTTCCCCCCAGAGCGGTTCCTATTTATCTACTTGCACTTTGATGTGCTTTTGAACTGCTAGGTTGGCAGGAGCAGGGGCCGAGCATCGGGAGCTCACCCTGTCACGGGGATTCGAACCACTGACCTTCTGATCAGCAAGTCCTAGGCTCTGTGGTTTAACCCACAGCGCCACCCGCGTCCCGTAAGGTAGAATTAGAACCGCTGTAAAACTATTCCCAATACAGAACTGGTTCTGGAGGATACCATGGTCAATGCAATCAAAAACTGCTGGGAGATTATGTATCAAAAGTCATTGAGAGATCAAATAAGAATAAACTGATAAAGATCATCCATTAGGGTGACCAAGACTGATTCAGCTCTAGAACCAGACAGGAACCAAGATTGAAGTGGGTCAAAATAATCTGCTTCATTCAGGAATACTTGCAACTCTCCTGTCATGACCCTCTCAGTTACCGCACCTTTCCCAAAGCAATAAACTCACTGTTGTTCACAAGATCACATTTCCATTGGTGAAAGGGGAAGAAAAAGGCCTAGATTTTAAAAGTGATTCCATTACCTTTAAAGAGTTGCAGTGAGAAACTGGTGAGATTTCTGGAGGAGCTCAAATTAACAATATTTGACACACAAAGGAGTTGTATTTACAGTTAATAGGTTTTCCCCACTACACTGAACTTTTTTTAAAAAATTACTTTTTATTGTTTCTATTTTGTGTAAAGAACATTTAAACATATTGCTGTTTGAGCTGTCGCAAAAACTACACCGAGCTCTGGAAAAAGTGGATATATCCTTCTATACCTCAGTGAAAAGAGGGCAAGGACAAGAGAATTCAGCCCCTCTCTGCAACCACAAGATGGCGAGTAAACTTGTTATGGTTAAGAAAGAAGGTCCAAATAAGGTAAGTTTCTTGAGTAATCTCAAGTGTACTCTACAGAAATATTACAGTACATGCTGAAGGTCATTTCATACATAAGTCCATAGATTTATATATTTTTGTAAAACTGAATGGTTAGAATATCTAAATTGCTACATATAGAATTGTGTTCAATGAATGAGCTTACATTTTTATCATATATATATCAATATTTTTAAAAATGATTAATTACCATGACTGGGGTTTTTTTTGGACATCATAATAATGAGATGCTGTAGTACCCCACTCCTATGCTAATTTATTTGGATTGAGGTCCCCCTGATTTCAATGCAACGTGTTTCAGAATAAATGGGTTCAGGGAACAACTAGATGTAATAATGGGTTGCATTCCTGGTTTTGTTTATTTAGCTGCTAAGCATATGCTATGTTAGAAGAGTTTGGATTTGATATCCCGCCTTTCACTCCCTTTAAGGAGTCTCAAAGCGGCTAACATTCTCCTTTCCCTTCCTCCCCCACAACAAACACTCTGTGAGGTGAGTGGGGCTGAGAGACTTCAAAGAAGTGTGACTGGCCCAAGGTCACCCAGCAGCTGCATGTGGAGGAGCGGAGACGCGAACCCATGTTCCCCAGATTACGAGACTACCGCTCTTAACCACTACACCACACTGGCTCTATGTTAGTTTTCAATAGTGTGATTGGTTTTTTCCCAGGGTGTTGTCCAAAAAGTGGGAGGCTATTTCAGGATCTGTTAATCTTGGGAGTGTTCTCAGTCATTGATCAATGCAGCTAGAACTTAATGGGATATAACTTTTCAAGAGTACTCTCCACCCAATGTCAAGCTCTTTTAAGACTCGTTTATGTCAAGGCGAATTGGGAATGGGTTTCAAGATGTGAGAACTTTAAAGTGCCTAACTTTGGCTGGATCGTGGATAAGGGATAAAACTGCAGAAAGTTACACTTGACATTGGCAAGTGGGTTAATGATCTCTATTGCTCAAATTCTACGCCTTAAAAAATGATAGGCAAAACGACTAAATGACGAAACAACATAAATTTTACCAGGTACAGGGGAATCCCCACTTGAATGCAATCAGCACATGTTCTCCTACTTGCACACGTGCCGAGAACAGTGCTGAAAAGGGGCAGGGACGGAATGGGAGAATTTCCACTTAAATGTGCCCTGATACAGAACCCCCGAGTAAAGAATATGGTTGGTCAAGGGAGCCATGGACTACCAAAGGTTGAAAACCTCTGCCAAAACTGTAGACACAGAAGTGCTAAACAGAAACAACCCAACAAAGGCAGACAGTTTCAGATCATGGGTGCCACCACGGGGAGTAGCTTTCCTACGGTTACTGATCTTGCTCTTGAGGAACCATGGTTCTATGAAGCTTAGTTTTCCCTAACTTTCACAATCTTTTTCAGAAGTGAAGTTTAATATTTTTAACAAGCTGGTGTAGGGTGGTCAGCCTGTTCCATATAACTTAGGTTTTGGGCTTGCATTTTGTTTTAGGGCCGCCTTTTCTACGCCTGTGATGCTCCTAGAGGTAATCGATGCGATTTTTTTAAGTGGCTAGAGGATGTAAATCCTGGACAGAAGGAAAGTAGGCCTGGTGTTGTACTTCATGACACAAAGAGTATTGGAACCTACCTCAGGAGTCAAAATGTTTCCCTCTATGAAGAATGCCAGCTTCTGATGAGGTATGTTAACTAAACATGAATATTACTGCCTGGCTCAGTAGAAGTTGAGCTACTGGTCTGACATCATACTTCGTTAGAGAAGGGTAATAATCACAAATGTTCTCTGCTACTTCAGACTTGACCTTCACATATTATTTTGGAAAAGTGTCCATATAAAAAAAAGCCCCAATATTACCTGAGAGTATCAGTGCAGGTAGCATGAGACCCAGTAACATCAAGGCAGTGGCACATATTCATAGAGCTACTTTGTTGTTGTTATTTAGTCGTTTAGTCATGTCCAACTCTTCGCGACCAGAGCACGCCAGGCACTCCTGTCTTCCACTGCCTCCCTCAGTTTGGTCAAACTCATGCTGGTAGCTTTGAGAACACTATCCAACCATCTCATCCTCTGTCGTCCCCTTCTCCTTGTGCCCTCCATCTTTCCCAACACCAGGGTCTTTTCCAGGGAGTCTTCTCTTCTCATGAGGTGGCCAAAGTATTGGAGTCTCAGCTTCAGGATCTGTCCTTCCAGTGAGCACTCAGGGCTGATTTCCTTAAGAATGGCTAGGTTTGATCTTCTTGCAGTCCATGGGATTCTCAAGAGTCTCCTCCAGCACCATAATTCAAAAGCATCAATTCTTCGGTGATCAGCTACTTTACCTCAGCTTTAATATTTGTTATGCATCATGGTGTTCAAGAAATTCTTCCCTGAAACAACTGTATGAAACTGTTTGGATGCTTTTAAATCAACATTTCTTAATATTAACGAAGAGTTTAATAGTTATTTGATCAATATTGCATGTGGTATGTGTGGTTGTTCACATAATTCATTTGGGTTTTTTTACTCTGTTGCAGTCTTCTGGTAAATCACTGAGTATTTGTGTCAAATCTAAAGGCAGCACAGAAATCATAAGGTCTTATTCAGTATATTTCTCTCTCTTTTTTTTAATAGGAAAGCCTTTGATGTTCAAAGGAAACAATTTGGTAAACTGAAGAAATTCAATATTGTAAATGCGAACCTTGATTGCGATTCTAAGAGCAAATTATATCTTAAGCTGAACCAAAAGGAGCATTCATCTGTGTACAGCAAAGGTGGGTGGACTCTTGTCATCTTACTGTAATGGGGCAAAATGTAACCATTGATATTACACATAGGAGCCTCAGTTATTTTGAAGTATATTCTCATTAAGGTTTGTCTTTGGAAATACTGCATATGTGTGTATATATGTACACACCTATATCCATTTTCAGGGTGTTGACTTGCATTGAGGAAAAGATTTCCATTTCCAGTGTGGCCTGATTTATATAGCTCATACATAGTTTTCTGTTCAAAGGCATTGCACCCTGACCTTTACGCTATACGTTGCTTCTGTCTAGTGAAATGAACTCATTTAGGAAAGTGGTGCCTGAGACTGTATAGGCAGTCCTCTCTCTAGTTCTAGTGACCAAACAAGATTAAATGGTAATATGTCTTGCTAATTAAGTTTGAACAGCGTTGTTTCCTTTTTTAAAAGACACGATTCTCACACAGACGGATGCAGCTTTCAAAGGAATACCATATCAATTTCATGACACAGCACCTGTGATGAAAGTAATACTAATTAATCTTAGTATAAGATGTAAGAGAATACATGAGAACACTTACTACTGACTGTGTCAGAAAAGTGAGATATGCGAAGACCACTTGTAGCTCCTCGATACTTTGGTTACTAATAGATTTTGTAGCTTCAATCCACGGTTAGCATAGCACATCTTCAGTTGCAGTCTTTTTTCTTTTTTTGCGGGGGTTGGGAGGGACCGCTATTCTAGATACAGTGGTACCTCAGGTTACATAGGCTTCAGGTTACATACGCTTCAGGTTACAGACTCCGCTAACCCAGAAATAGTGCTTCAGGTTAAGAACTTTGCTACAGGATGAGAACAGAAATTGTGAATAAATCAGGAAAGCTACTAGCTTGGCAGTTAAAAAAAAGGAAGGAACAGAATACAATAAATAAAATTGAGGTGGAGGGAGAAGAGATAAATAATCCCAAGGAAATAAGGAAGGCCTTTTTGGATTTCTACAGAGGACTCTACAAAAACAGTGAAAGGAACAATTCGAGAAAAATAGAAAGATTTTTAAAAGGGAAGAACATTAAAAAGATTTTGACAGTGGAGAAAGAAAAATTGAGTGCCTTAATTAAGGTAGACGAAATAAAAGAAGCAATAAAGGAATTAAAAAAAGGGAAAGCCCCAGGCCCAGATGGGTTCACCGGTAGTTATTACAAAGAAATGGAGCCAATTCTGTTGACTCCACTGCAAGAAGTAATGAATAATATCCTTAAAGAAAGAGAAATACCAGAGACATGGAAGGAGGCACTAATCACATTAATACCCAAACACGATTCAGATTTACAACAGATTAAAAACTACAGACCGATCTCCCTACTAAATATAGATTATAAGATCTTGGCGGGAGCGGGAATTTTGGCAAGGAGATTGAAAAATATATTGGTAGAAAGCATACACAAAGATCAAGTGGGTTTTTTGCCGGGTAGGCAAATGAAGGACAACATAAGAAATATAGTAAATATTATAGAATATTTATCTGACAGGTGTGATAAACAAGGCTTGCTGTTATTCGTGGATGCAGAGAAAGCATTCGATAATATAATTTGGGATTTCCTGCTGAAACAACTGGAATATATGGAGGTCGGCACTGAATTTTATAATGGGGTAAAGGCAATCTACACGGAACAAAAGGCAAAACTGATAATAAATAATGTGGAGACAGCAGAAATAAGAATAGCAAAAGGAACAAGACAGGGATGCCCACTGTCCCCACTGTTATTTATAATGGTGCTAGAAGTCCTTCTAAATTCAATAAGAGAAAACAAAGGGATAAAAGGAGTAACAGTTGGGCAGAATGAATACAAAATTAAGGCATTCGCAGACGATCTGGTTATAACAATGGAGGATCCAATAGATTCAATAAAAGAGGTACTCGAAGAATTCGACCAATTTGGAAAAGTGGCCGGCTTCAAATTAAATAAAAGGAAAACAAAAATCATAGTAAAGAATATGGATACAGATAAAATCGAAGAACTACAAAATGAAACGGAGATAGAGGTGGCCAGAAAGGTTAAATATCTAGGAATATGGGTAACGCCAAAAAACATAGACTTATTCAAAAATAATTACGAGACAACATGGAAAGGAGTTAAGAAAGATATTGAAACGTGGGGTAAGCTGAAACTGTCATTCTGGGGCAGAATAGCCATAATCAAGATGAGTGTGCTCCCAAAAGTGTTGTTTCTGTTTCAGAATATTCCTGTAATTAAGGGTACAAAGATATTTAAAGACTGGCAGAGAGTGATTTCAAAATTCGTCTGGCAGGGCAAGAAACCAAGGATAAAATTTAAACTGTTGACAGATGTGAAGGAAAGGGGGGGCTTTGCCCTGCCCGATCTGAAACTATATTATGAGGCGTCATGCCTATGCTGGGTCAAAACATGGATAAAACTGGAAGATAAGGAAGTGCTAGACTTAGAGGGATTTAACATCAGATTTGGGTGGCACGCCTATCTATGGCATGAGAAGAGAAAAGTACACAGGGGCTTCGAAAATCATATCTTTAGAGGTCCACTGATTGAGGTATGGGAGAGGAATAGAGATATGTTAGAACCTAAAACACCCCATTGGCTATCGCCACTAGAAGTGATGAGCGTGAAAAAGATTAACATGAGAGATAATTGGGCCACATACGAACAACTGTTAATGAAAGAAGAAGGAAAGTGGAAAATGAAGCCGTACGATCAGGTCAAAGAGAAAGTCTATGATTGGTTGCACTATTTCCAGATAAATGGAATGTTTAGGAAAGACATTACAGACAAAGGATATGCTGACAAAGATTCTAGATTTCAATAATAATAATAATAATAATAAATTTTATTTATATCCCGCCCTCCCCAGCCGAAGCCGGGCTCAGGGCGGCTAACAACAATAAAACAGTACAAAAGTACAACATAAACAACATTCTAAAATCATTCATTATAAAAATTAATTAATTCAAGCCACTAGCAACCATTGGGCCAGAGCTCCGCGAAGATTGCCGAGGGAGGGTGTCAGGCTGTGCCCTGGCCAAGGCCTGGTGGAACAGCTCTGTCTTGCAGGCCCTGCGGAAAGATGTCAAGTCCCGCAGGGCCCTGGTCTCTTGTGACAGAGTGTTCCACCAGATCGGAGCCACAGCCGAAAAAGCCCTGGCTCTAGTTGAGGCCAGCCTAACTTCTCTGTGGCCTGGGACCTTCAGGATGTTTTTATTTGAAGATCGTAAGTTTCTCTGTGGGGCATACCAGGAGAGGCGGTCCCGTAGGTACGAGGATCCTAGGCCGTATAGGGCTTTAAAGGTTAAAACCAGCACCTTAAACCTGATCCTGTACTCCACCGGGAGCCAGTGCAGCTGGTATAGCACCGGGTGAATGTGATCTTGCAGCGAAGACCTCGTAAGGAGTCTCGCTGCAGCATTCTGCACCCGCTGGAGTTTCTGGGTCAGTCTCAAGGGCAGCCCCACGTAGAGCGAGTTGCAATAATCCAGTCTGGAGGTGACCGTCGCATGGATCACAGTGGCTAGGTCAGGGCGAGAGAGGTAAGGAGCCAACTGCTTAGCTTGGCGGAGATGGAAAAATGCCGCCTTTAAATTTCAGATTGAGATATTGAATAACAATTATAAAATTCTGTCTAAAATGTACAATCAGTTATTGGAATGGAATTTAATAGATGAGGAAGTAAAGTCGGTAATGATACATTGGGCTAGAGATATCGGTCACAATATATATTTTGAAGAATGGGAGAAACTTTGGAAAACACATCTCAAGTTTACAGCTTGTGTGACACTAAAGGAGAACTTAATGAAAATGTATTACCGATGGTATATGACTCCTGCAAAATTAGCCAAAATGTACGGAACCTGTAATAAATGCTGGAAGTGTAAAGAAAGGGAGGGGTCCTTCTACCATATGTGGTGGGAATGCCAAAAAGTTAAAGGGTTTTGGGAGAGTGTATCCAATGAAATGAAGAAAATTTTAAGATATACTTTTGTTAAAAAACCCGAGGCTTTTCTGTTGGGATTGGTAGGAAGGGAGATAAAAAAGAAAGATCATAAGTTGTTCCAGTATGCAACAACGGCAGCAAGAGTCTTATTAGCTCAAAATTGGAAATCTGAGGGCTTGCCGACAATCAAGGAATGAGTCCAGTGTTTCCCAACCTTGTGCCTCCAGCTGTTTTTGGACTACAATTCCCATCATCCCTTGCCACTGGTCTTGCTAGTCAGGGATGATGGGAGTTGTAGTTCAAAAACAGCTGGAGGCACAAGGTTGGGAAACAGATTATGCGGAGATGGACAAGATGACAGGGAAAATTAGATACTCCAAAGACCAGAGGTTCATTAAGGATTGGGAAAGTTTTACGAAATATCTGGAAAACCTGAGTGACGGACAGATAACACTAGTGGGTTTCAAAGGAGCTCTGTAAAAAGAAAAGGGTATTGTCTAAAGAGAAATGGAAGAACTAGGATGATTAAAGGCAATACAAATTAAGAAATGTGAACTTTTATAAAAGATTATTACGGATGATTTGTGGAAAGGTTGAAGGAAGTCATACTAAAAAACCTGTGAAAATGAGAATTGAATTTTTATATTTTGTATTTTTTATTATGCAAACTAATAAAAATTATGCATGGGGGAAAAAAAAGAGAGAACAGAAATTGTGCTCCGGCGGCGCGGCGGCAGCAGGAGGCCCCATTAGCTAAAGTGGTGCTTCAGGTTAAGAACAGTTTCAGGTTAAGTACGGACCTCCAGAACGAATTAAGTACTTAACCCGAGGTACCACTGTATATCAAATAATTGATAAGGCTGTCACTTTGTTAGAATCAATCCTGGTATCCTGGCATGGTCCTTTTGTTTATGCCTTAATCGGTTAAAAAGTGGGTAATTGCTACAAGTGGGTAATCTGCATATCAATTCAATTTCATTTTATAAATTAACCTGTGTAGTCAGTTGTCATAACTCCCCACCCCCATTAGTGCAAGATTAAAGTGCCACACACAACAAAAATTAAAACAAACCTTGGGGGAAAGCTCTACAACCTTAAATATAAATCTTGAGAATACGCTAATACTTAATATGAAAATAGATATACTGTACAATCTATGTTTCTATTCAGAAGTAACCCCCATTAGTTCAATAGGATACATAGGATTGCAGCCAAAATTTACCTGACACTGTTTATTTAAAGAAGGCAAAGCACACAAGACTCCTCTGGAACAAACAGAACTAGGAAGTAAAAAATAAGATGGGACATAACTTATTCTCTCCGAAAGACTTAGTCCAGATTTGATTTTGTCCATTCAGAAGCTGGTGATTTGATGCAACTGATAAAACTCATTTACTGTGTTGACAGATGATCTTTGGGTTGTTTCCAAGACTTTGACCTTTGAACCCTTGGATACTTTCATTGCAAGCAGTGTTTTCTTCGGACCATCCTCTAGCAATGAATTGGAGTTGATACCTCTCAAAGGTTACAGTCCCTCAAACTGGCGCTCAAATAGTAAGTTTGTTTTTTAAATCAACATCTTAGTACAGATGATTCAAATTCAAAATACAGCCAATTCTTAATATGCTATGAAACTGAATTATCAATTTCTCAAACTTTTGGTATGCAAAAGGGAAAAAAGCCCAAGAGAAATGATGGCAAGATGAAAGGTCTAATAGGTGTGAAGGAAATGTCTAGAACAATTTTTTAATCACCGTAGAGATGTGATGCTACAAGTGAAATAATGTTAATTTGAAAAGCTTATTAAATGGTATTCATATATTTGGCCCTTGAAAGTTGAGTAATGTTTTCATTTATTTAACTAATCCTAAAGTGAGATATCTGGTAGCTTGGGGAGAGGAGGAAAGCAGGGGTGGAGATAGGGTAAGAATGAATTGGGTAGAAACACAACTGATTACCTTTCTTGGAGGATCACAGACATGGCTGAAAGTGTGTGGACAGCATACATAGTGACAGATATAAGAAACAGGGGAACTAAGTACAGTGGTACCTAGGTTTTTGAACATAATCTGTTCCCGAAGATCATTCAACTTCTGAAATGTTCGAAAACCAAGGTACAAAGGGTGATCAGCAAATTCAGTGGAGAAAATGGAAAATAACTCAGCGGAAGCCATTTGACTTCTGAGGTACATTCGAAAAAGGAAAAATTTATTTAAGTCTTGCAACAGAAATGGCATGAAACAATTTACAGCCTTGTTTTAAAATACAGTAAAAAAGCATACTCTATTTGGAGTTTACATATTATAATTACCTTATCGAATAATTACCTTATCAAAATAGAATAGCTTACATTGGTGTGAATGGGAGCTTTTTCTAGTACAATAGTAGGTACAGGGAGTTGAATTTATATTGAGATCACAGTGGTGGTCAAAGGGTTGAATCCCCATTCCCTTTCTCCAGCCAGGGCCCTTAATCCAGATTAGTTCCCTACGTCTGCTATTTACTTTTTTGGGGGAGGGGCAAACAGTCATGCAAGTGTTAATTTTCTGTAGTTACTCTTCTTCCTTGTAACATTTCTTCATCTTCAGTGATTGTTCATGCTTTGCTAGTTTGCAATGCTAGCACTGAGCTTACAACTTTGAGAAATATAGAGGAAAACATCAGTTCAGGCACTTTACCAATAATGGAGCATCTGCTAACAAAGTAGGTAGTTTTACTATCTATATTTCAGTTCAGTTTTATAAACTGTAGATTGTACCATCTTTTGAAATAGGTGGGAAAGGATAATTTTTTATGCTGCATAGAATGAACACTGCAAACTAATATCTCTTTGGAAATATACAAGATAAGACTGTGCAAATACTATTAACAGCATATATTTGCACTCACTGTCTTCTGACAATTTTCTGAAAACTAAGAAAATTTCCAAAAACCAAAGTGAAATGTATTTGTTTTAGTAAAATTTCTTTAAGTACCTGTAGGTGAATTGTCATAGCTGCAAGATTCTGTATATTTAAAATCAGACAAAATAAATGATGATGATATTGTTTTTGTTAAGAATGACTTTTAAGAGGAGCACAATTTCCACTGCTCATGTGTGTGCATGAGTGCAAACCCCCTCAAAAAAGTATTGAATTGAGGTGGGGGGGGGACTGAAAAGGTGGCAAACTATTTAGATAAAAAGTAAAACAACTTGAAATGTATGAATGTAGAGTCATAAAGATCGTAATTTATTTTAAAAATGGATGCAGATTCATACATTTAGTGATGTAAATAAATTTCATTTAAAACTATATAGCTTAGTGATATTCAAAGTTAGACACATTGAAATAACTTAAATCTATTGGTTTCAGTGGGTCTACTCAGAGTATAACTAATGTTGGACACTGCCTTTTCACTCTCTTCTGATTTAAATCCTTTAATTAACACAGGTGTGATTTAATTATATGACAATTTGCCTCTAAATGTATCCAATATTGTACTTTTTAGGTCTTTTAAAGCTTCTAGTAGCCGAGTCAACAAGCGAAAATTTAAACCACCTGCCTTAAACACAAATACAATAACTACGGGAGCCCTGAGTCCAGAAACTATTATAAATCTGGCAAACAATATGATTCAGACATTTCATCTGAATAAAGATCAGGCTACGGCACTGATTCAGATAGGTGCCATGATGACATTGCAAGGAATCGATACAGAAACTGGGAAACGGCAAGCCCTTCCAATAACAATCATACACGGTAAATTGTTTTATGCGAACTTAAATAGCTTGCTTCTACAGTTCTGTCTTTATTTCAAACATTTAATGGACTACCCTCACTTTATCAACAACTCCTCATTGCACCACCAAACAAGTAGACAAGTCTCCCTCCAGCAAGGGCCTATGTTCAGCATCCCATGGAAAGTCCTGAAAGAGGGTGCTGTGGAGAGGAGGAGGGCTTGAGCTGGCCCGGGATCTACTGTTACTGCTTGATGATATTGGACCCAATTTAGATCTGATGGTTCCATTGCATTGGCTCCAGTGTGGCCCAACGCTTCTCCTATCCCACCCTTCCACCCAGTGTGAGCAGAAGGACTGCAAGGACAGTGGTGGTCCCATCACCCTGTTAAGTCCTGCCAGTCCTCGGTGGAGATTTAGACTGTAGCACCGTAGCTAAACTACTGCATAAATTTGGGCACTCCAGAATCATTGCTGGCCCCATGGCAAAAAACATTCCATGCTCCTTAAGTTAAGGATGCTCTACTTGCTGTTGTTATTATTTTTATTAATCTCCTTCCACACACGTCTAAAGGTGATATGCAAGTTATAACAAAACTTAGGAGAGAGTTTTGTCTCAACTTGCCACTATCACAGCACACTCAGATGATTTTGTTAGTGAACTTTCAACTGTGGTACCCATTACTCTTTTTGTTTAGTTACATCTATGCATATGTGGTTAAGAATATTTTATATGTTATTTTGCATTTACTTGGGCTGAATCTCTGATTTCTCTACATACAGGTGTGTTTGGATCTGGAAAAAGTTATTTGCTGGCCATTGTTATCTTATTCTTAGTACAGATCTTTGAAACTGGTGAAGGAACTGATGGCAAAAAGTCGGTGCCATGGAAAGTACTGATCTCTTCTTCCACAAATGTTGCTGTGGACAGGGTACTGCTTTGGTAAGTACATACTGTTCTGCATAGGACATGTTTTATTTTTCTCTTGCTGCTTCAATAACTTGCTTGCATTGTTAACTCATAAACTCTGCCACCTTCGGTGGATCCTTCAAAGTAGCACAATGTGTCTTCCACTTTCCTTGTTAGGGATGTTGTATAGAAGGCACTTCCAAACTAACTTTCGAAAGCAACCTTTTGTAGTTATGAAAAGAATACCACTTTTCACTGTATGAATAGTGTATCCATATTGCCTTGTATTTTTTTAAAGCTACATGCAGATTTTGGGAGTGTACAGGGCGGGGGGAGAAGCCCGGTTGCACCAATGGGAGTCCTTCTACTGGCTCCTCCTTGTGCTTCAGGTTAGTCTGTCTTTGTCCCTGAAGCAGTCATTTGGCTCCTCACCAGAATTGCTACCATTGGTACAGACTTTCTCCGAAAGCATTGGCATTCTCCAAGTTTGCATATGAACATTTCCTGTTTTAAAACTGGTGGGTAAAGAATAAAGAATGTGGAAAGATGAAATTAAAATAAAGGTGCTAGAATTCATTATAATAAATGTTAGTTCGTGTCTTTTTCCTTCCCCCACAGCCTCCTAGATCTTGGATTTGAAGAATTTATTAGAGTGGGTAGTATTAGAAAAATTGCTAAGCCAATTCTTCCTCACAGGTAACATGCCTAAAATCTTCAGCCTGTTTGTTGCTATTTAATAGAACATTTTGTGTGACATATATCATTTGAAAGTGAATGAAATACCACACACACTGAAAACTTGAAATAATTAAGTCAAATTCCCCAGCTGTAATTTTGCGTGTGTGAGAGAAACAATAGAAGCGAAGTAAGTTACTCATTTAGAACTTGGGTGCTGTAGTTGGTCTGCCACTTAGCCATAGGCAAGACATTTCCAGGCCAGTATATTGTGTGTTGTTGATGGTAAGTCCCACTCAGTTCCTTGGAGATGTTGGTAAATAAGTATGCATATGGCTCCAACCGTAATCTGACTGAGGCTTGGTTTGCCCTCTTCACGGGACCCCTGTTGAATTGTGTTTTCTACTAGTTGGCTTGTAGCCAAGCAAGGTTTGCGCAGAGACCCCAGTTGTATGACCAGTTCTGCCTCGTGGAACCTATACAAGCAGTGGCCACAATTTGTGTGATCTTTCCAAGGCACCACGAGTATACAAAATCATATCGATTAAGCTATCGGCTTCACACAGAGCTGCAGGTTTAGTCAATCAACACTTCCATGTAGCCCTGTGCCCTCTTACCGGTGGCCATGTGGTACCATCAGGAATCTGAACCAGACTTATATCTTCCTGACATTTAAAATGGGAGTAGTACTTACTCCATACATTCCCACACATACACTGCATTGATCGTCAGAGCTTCTTCTCCATGTGCTCCCAAGCAGCTCTCTGAAGTAAGGCAGGTAGTGATGAAAGAGAATATATTTTTGGTAATGACACCCCATCTTTGGAATTCTCAACTCAGAGTAGTTCATCTGATGTCTTTCTCCTTTGTCTTTGTACCAGACAGATAGGGTTTTTTTTAATTTTCCCCAAAGGGCCTTCTTTTTTATCCTGTGTTTTAATCATCTGCCAGTTTTACATCTTGCTGTGCTGTACTGCTGTTTTGTCATCTTGATTTTTTGTTTTAATTACATCGATTGTTTCAGTTTTTATAAGTCATTCTGAAAGCAGCCATTGACAGGGAAATGTATACATATTTAAATAAAAAAGATGTTGCTGGATTGTTATTATTACAGAATATTTGAATGGTCCTTCATATAAAAGAGTCCCTGAATATAAAAAAAAAATAAAAAATTCTGGCATAACCAATCCCTGACTTTCTAAGTTTTGGGTGCAAAGGAGGTGTTTTTTAGTTTTTGTTTTTTGTAAACATGAGGGCGCATTGAAACATTTGGTCCCTTACGTTTTGTATCATTTGCCAAATAAAGCAAAGTACAGGATATGCACATGACATGTTTTGTTACTATCTTAAGGAACCTATTTCTAGATTTAATCACCAAACTACATGGAAAACAGAAGGGTGTCTTTTACATATGTTTCTTTACTCTGACTACATTGTTTTCATTCAATATTATTATCTACAATTGAACAATATGTTTAAAGCTTGCATGCTGGCTCAGGATCTGAAAGCGAACAACTGAAAGAATTGCATGCTCTGATGAAGGATGATTTAACCCTAGCAGAAAAGATCTTTGTAAGAAAGACCATTGAACTCCATAAGCTGGGAACCAACAAAGCTCTCCTGCAACAGGTGAAATAAAATTAAGTAGCATAAAATAAGTACGTTCTGTACTAATGTTGTGCAATGATGGTGGAATAAAATCATGGTTGTATGATTCTATGAAACCATAGTGCCATGACCACTCTACCACTGAGCCTTGATTCCCTTCCCCTTGCCACTGTCTCAATCACTTTTGAGATGCATGAGTAACTTGTTTTAAGCATTAGAACCCACAGCATATGGCTATATGAAAGATACACACGGAACTTTTTCTTTTTGTTCCCCCCCATAACATAGGTAAGGGTAGTGGGAGCTACCTGTGCTGCCTGCCCATTCTCTTGCATGAAAAATCTTAAATTCCCTATAGTAATTCTGGATGAGTGCAGTCAGATGACAGAACCTGCATCGCTTCTTCCTATTGCAAGGTATTGCCTCTTTTAATATTACAACTAATTGAGGGTTGAATTTCTTATCTTATTCTTGTATGTATTAAAAGCTTGTGATCTTGAGAAAATGATTTGACTAAATGTTCTATGCAGCAGTGTGTAAGGTTTTATGCAGCAATGACTGCAGTCTGCACTAAAAATATCAAATGATGTAACTGGAATAAAGTATGTAGGTCTCTTCTTCACCAGTTTTCTGAATTCCAGTAAGTTGCTTTAAGTGTATGCATGCAGAATTAGGAATGTTGCCATTTTGAATATTTGTTTGTTCAGATACTTTTGTCACACGTGGAAAGAGACACAGGATAGTGGGGGCTGGGAGAGGGCAGTCAGTCCCAGGTGGGATATGCAAAGTGGTTGAAAAGATCTGTTACTTAAATCATGAAGGCAAATAACCAGTCACAGTCCTGGCAAATTTTAGCAGTCCTAAGCCCTGGTATTTTAAAAAAGCGTGTATTTAAGTCTGTTCTGTTGAAATGAATGATACATAGAATGATGCTTAAGAGAGCTTACATTTGGCTAGGAACTTGCCTATTTTTCTTTACAACTAATTTGTATTTGGTTTTTAAACAAATACAAGAACCATTAAACACTCATCCAGCAATGCATCTAATGATGTTTGTTTTATCCATTGACTTTAGACATAAGCTTACACATTCAGTGTTCAAACATAATTACTTAACGTAACCCCTCCACTGAGACGATTGAGTGGCTGATATAGCATGGTGTCAGGGAACTGTCATCGGAAGGACAGGAGGTGGAAGGGCTCACAGAGGTTGAGAGAGACTTAGCAGCTGAAGAGGGAACCAGCAGGGGGATAAAGAGGTTGGCTTGTGATTGCAAGGAAGATGAAAGCTTAATTCCCTGTAGTTGTAGCCACAGACTGCATTCTTAATTATATTATTTCGTTTTAGGGCACTAGGGAATGAACTTCATTTTGTACAATGGTGTAGTTGATGTTAAAACCTAGGACTAAAAGGCAGCACACACATTTTAAAAGAAAATAAATAATGTGTGATGGTCAAAAGTGGGGGTTTTTTTATAGGTTTGAGTGTGAAAAGCTGATTTTGGTTGGAGATCCTAAGCAACTACCACCCACTATTCAAGGGTCTGAAAGTGCACATAGTAATGGTTTGGAGCAAACCCTCTTCGATCGACTCTGTTTGATGGTATGTCTTGCTATTTATCCTGAAAAAGATATTCCTCCTATGATGCTAACCTTATTATGTGATAGAACTTTGCTTTCTTAACTTAATTTTGAAGACATCCCTCTCTGTTCCATGCACAACGTCCAACCCCATTCTGGGAGCTGCCAGGAGGAAGGTCTATGTGGAAAAGTCATCTTCTGTGCACTGCCTTCTGCTGGCATTTCTCTTGCTCAAACTCACAACGACTGGCTATAGTTGTGACCCAATGACTCTTACTCATTTTGCTCTCTGAAATGTACCAAAAGATATAACATGATCCTAAAAATGTAGGTAGTTTTTAGTACTGGTATGTACAGCCTGACAACAACTTCCTCCCCCCCCCATAGGGACATGAGCCAATATTGCTTAGGACGCAGTATCGTTGTCACCCTGCTATATCTGCCATCACCAATGACCTGTTTTATGAGGGCAGCCTGCTGGACGGCATTTCTGAAGCAGATCGAAGCCCTCTGATTGACTGGTTACCAACACTTTGTTTCTATAACGTCAATGGCTTAGAGCAGGTACATGATATATTTATGTTTAAACTGTTAAGATTATCTCATGCTTTATTATTGCCAGAGCCGTGTTGGATTATTTGGGACAAGTTGGTTACAAACCAAGGCATCAGTTTTGGATTTGAAACTTGCTTGTTTTTGAAGGTGAAATACAGAGTTTATGTAGCAATAGAAGAAGAGGACAATAACCCCTACTGTTGCTGCTTTTCAGTAGCTGGCATTTGTGGCATAGAGCCTCTGAAACTAAAGCTTCCATAAAGCCATCGTGACTAATATCCATTAATAGACTTCTCCTCTATAAATTTGCCCATAACATCTGCCTATCCCCTTTGTTCTTTTATTTGCACATGCTACTAAAGCACAGTCCAGCTCCCACTTTCCCAGGGCTTAATTTTCATAGCTTTTCCAATTCCTTATGCAGCCAACTAATCAATATTTTGACCTTGAAATATTTTTACTTGAATTGAGACTTGGATAATGCAATGCTGCTTTAAAATCTTATCCTTCTGTTTTGGTACAGAAGTACACTTTGGTTAAAAATCATATTCAGGATGTTGCTCAATATGTAGGCCACAACTCTTTTTGAGGCTTAAATCCTTCACCCGAAACTACATGGAAGGAAGTCTCAAATATTGCAGTCAAACACAGGACTTCTTTGATCATCAATTGTGATGATCTACATATGACTGAAAGATCATTTAGAAATGTTGAAGGCTGCTTTTATATGAGTTATTTGGCCATTTAGCAAAGGGGTAAATAACGTTTTTGACCTTGTAGGCCAGATCCATCGGTATGTCTCCCCCCACCCTTCCAAGTGGGCCACTTTGACAGGTGGCCTATGCACCTGTCAATTACCTGACATCACCATTTTTCCTTTGCAGCATGGCTTGTACTCAAGTTCTGTGGCAAAGAAAGATCCCAGCAGAGCTTGAAAACAGCATTGTTCAGCTGAATGGCACCTCTTTTGGACAGGGATTCGCTACCTTCAGGCACTCCTAACTGGGAGTGCCTAATTGTAGCTGATCCTGAAGTCACCATTGATCAGCTGGTCACAGCTGACTTCCAGCCCCACTTTCCACAGTGATCATCTCCATTTGGGAAAAGGAAGCTTTATCTCTGAAGTAGCTCCCATTCTGGGCAGAAAGCAATATCACTGGAACGACTTACCAATAATTTCATGTGGTGAAACGAACACTGTTGAAATGGCTTTGCCTGTTGGGTGGGAGTTTCTTCACACAAGTATACAGCATTCCACATCATTTCAAACCCATGTGTGTCAGAATCGCATTGGAAACTATATCGCAAAGGCTACATGATAATTAGACCGAAATTATTATGAATTAAGTTTTTTTCTTTGTTCCCCCAAGTGGGCCAGATGATATCTCATGGGCTTTCTTACATTACATAATATATGTCTGTTTCTTTTTCTCTAGGTGGAAAAAGACAACAGCTTCCACAATTTGGCAGAATCATTTTTCACTGTCAAATTAATCCAGTCTCTGATTGCCAGTGGAATAGAAGGAAACAGGATTGGAGTAATATCCCTCTATAAATCACAAATGAGCAAGGTATATGTTGCACACCAAAACACATTTCAGTAAAATGTTTATCAGTACAGTATTGATGTAAAAATTAACTTTAGTTTTCTGTTTTAATTTTCTGTTTTCCAACAAGCTTTTTCCTTGCTTTCTTATTGAGACCTTCTAACTTTGCTAAGCATCATTACATTCAAAACTAACTGAAGGTTAATTAACAATTACCCTTCTTTTTACAGACAGATAGCAATTTCTCAATAAGCATAGAAATGGTTATACTTCAGTAGGGTTATAGTCTGTCTCAAGTCAGAAGGAACCTTAATTAATATTTACATTTTGCATGTCTGTTTGTTGTGAGCAAGTTCAAAACTTAATTGTATCAAGTTATTAATAAAAATTTAATTTTATTTAATTTGCAAAACAATAAATGTAATTATCTGGATCTGTTTTTGTCTACAGATTTGTAACTTGCTTAATGCTGTACATTCAGATGCTTCCCAAATTAAAGCAGTCCAAGTGTCCACTGTTGATGCCTTCCAGGGAGCAGAGAAAGAAATCATTATATTATCCTGTGTAAGGACAAAACAAGTTGGCTTCATTGATTCAGAAAAGAGAGTGAACGTGGCATTGACCAGAGGGAAGCGACATTTATTAATAGTGGGAAATCAAAACTGTCTAAGCAAGAACAAGCTATGGAGATGTATCATTCAGCACTGTGCAGGTAAATCAGCTTATTTTAAAATATAGCCAGATATAGCTATATTGTTCCCAGAGAATCTAGTGCAATAAAACATAACCTTCTTTGTGTGTCAATACTTGTAAGTTCTTTAATAGGGAAACATTTATTCCTGATGAAAAAAATCGGTGTGGTGTATGTGTAACTATTGTAACTGTTAGGTTGATTCTAAACATGTTTACATTACAAAGTCACACTGATTTAAAAATACTTACAAGTAAATATAGTCCTTAGTTGACTTTTTGGCGCCAGCTAAAACATTAGCTTTCAGCTTTAACAGGCATGGCAGGCTGTTGTACAAGAAGCACAAATCCAAACCTCTCTTGGGTGTGCAGATGCTTTGTAGATTCTTGTATTAGGCCACTCTGTTTAGTGGCTAAATATTAAAAACTAAGATTGCTTTAATATACAATTATACTGTTTCACTACAGGAAGAAAAAATGGATTACAGCACGTTAGCCAATGTGAGCAGCAATTGAATGACATTATTAAATCTTACGTGGAAAGGAAGAAGGAGGAAGAAGAAATGAACAAGGAAAAGGAAAAGTCTAAAAGAAAATCACTATCACAAAAAACGAGTGATTAACTTTGTGCTGTTTCTATGTAAATTATTTAAAATACCTTGAAAATCACTGTTTAAACTTGTTAATTGTTTTATGTCCCACCAGTACTCTAGTTAGCTTTCCCCAATCTGATGCCTTTCAGATGCTTTGGACTACATCTCCATCAGCCGCATCTGACATTCAAAGCATCAGACACAAGGTTGGGGAAGGCTGGTCTAGTTACATGCATCAAAAGGTACACAAAAGGCTGTGAAAATCATAGATCACTAGAAAGTGAGCTTTTCCTTTGAAAATGTAGTTCTTTTAATTGTTATAATGACATTTTAAGTACTCTGGAATAAAGTCAGGATTTTAAAATTGCTTTTAATTGTGGAATTTTTTTTCAACAGGGAATTAAACTTTTAGATGGATTTGTCATGGGTAGTATCTGAATAGGCTTTGTGTTTTATATAAAATAGTCTTATGGATGAAAGCTTATTGAGAAAAGGACAAAAAAAAGATGGTGGCCATTAAAAAAATATTCTGCAGGTTGAGTCTATCACTCAACAAGATAGCTCAGTCAGTAGAGCATGAGACTTTGAATCTCAGGGCTGTGAGTTTGAGCCTCACGTTGGGCAAAAAGATTTCTGTATTGCACAGTGTTGGCCTAGATGTGGTCCCTTCCAACTCTACAATTCTGTGATTAGATTGAATACATACTCTATTGATCATCATGGTGTATTCTACAATATCACACCTAATTTCTGCAGCATATTTCTACTGTGAGGTCGTTGGGCTGTTCCCACGCTTTTAAGCAGCAGCCTTTTACATTTGCAACCGTTTCATTTCCACCATAGATTCTGACAACTCCTCTTAGGCTGTCTGAGACTAAAACACACTTTCATAGCAACGATTGAAAACCATTTTGAAAAACCACACTTTTCAGTTCATGAAGTTTCTAGCTCTAGCTTTCATTTTCGCTTTGCCTTGCTTTTTGCAAGGCCTCTTATTTTTCTACTTTTCTTGCAAACTTAGAAGATTTTCTTTCAGTGGAGGAGGGAATCCTAGGATGGGTTGCTCCTTCCCCTCTTGCTCCCCTGGGCAGGATTATTCAAATGAAGATTGAGTTGCCCAGTGACAGTGGCAACCCCTCTCCAGTTTCCTTCATGCCTGGCTTCATGGCAGGTTTCATCATGACAAAGTTTCCTCTTTTATGGTCCGGCAATTTATTCTCTTCCCCACCTCATTATCTTGCCTTTGCAGAGCTAGTGGACTTTGCAGGAAAGGGAGGTTCCTGTTGCCATCTGGGATACCTTTTAAGCAGCTTGTGAGCATGAGCTCTCCTGCCTTCCCACTGGGCTGTTCAACCATAGGATTCGCAGAGATGCTGGGAAGGGGAGGAAGTTGCAAGGCAGTTTTTAACAAGTGTTGTTAAACTTATTTTTGCATTTCTCACTTTTGTAACACAAGTGTGAAACCTGATCTTTTAAAGATTGTGAAATTAGCACGAGCTACTGCTCTAATGGCGGACGCGGGTGGTGCTGTGGTCTAAACCACAGAGCCTAGAGCTTTCCGATCAGAAGGTCAGCGGTTCGAATCCCCGTGACGGGATGAGCTCCCATTGCTTGGTCCCTGCTCCTGCCAACCTAGCAGTTTGAAAGCACATCAAAGTGCAAGTAGATAAATAGGTACCACTCTGGTGGGAAGGTAAACGGTGTTTCCGTGCGCTGTTCTGGTTCACCAAAAGCGGCTTAGACATGCTGGCCACATGACCTGGAAGCTGTACGCCGGCTCCCTCTGCCAATAAAGCAAGATGAGCGTCACAACCCCAGAGTCATCTGCGACTGGACCTAATGGTCAGGGGTCCCTTTACCTTTACTGCTCTAATGATGGGTTATCTTACAACCCCCCACATATCTATTAAGCACTTCCCTGCACAAATGATTCCTTCCCTTCCAGTTTAGCATGCCAAAGCCAGAAGCATGGAAAGCTGGTGTCTGAATGCAGGTAAGTATGATCAGTAGAGCTGTGTAATCCTAACTGTACTTATTTGCAAGCAAGTTCCATTTAAACTTGGACACCCTCCCCCCAAATAGATAAATCTATGGGCCACAAGCCCATGGAAAAATTAGAAAGAATATCTTAAATTCTCTGTAAAGTTAACATTTCTACAAAATAATTAGTAGGTACATAGTTATATATTTCAAAATCTTCAGAGTACTTCACATGTATTATCTGAGTAACCCTAAATGATTCCTGTGTCTTTCTCCCCATAGGGCAAATACCAGCTTCTGGAGGGCAAGGGAAGCAGTTTCCATTGGGAAAATAGCATTGTAGGGAAAGGGTTAAATTCCCCTATGCTAGCTCTGTGGCATCTATTGAAACTGCCCCATCAAGCACAAACTTTTCAAGTTGAATTTTTGAAAAACAGAAAATCCTATTTCCCAGTACACTATGGAAAAGTAAGAGGGTAGCGTAGAAACTTTTTAACTATTTTTTTTAAAAGAATGTTCTCTGCTTTCTCAGATAGTATTTTATAGAAAATACTAATACAGTGATTTAGCTTGTGGTGATCTCCTAAAACTCTTAAATTTGTTTTTTAAAGTTAAAAAACATAGATTAAACCTGATGTTTCTCATAAAATAAAGACCGTCCATTAGGTGGTGCCAGCGTTCTCTCTTCGGTCCATACTTTAGTGTTGAGAGAACTACCAAGGGTCATCTAATTTTTAAAAGAAATGAAGAAAGAAAATTTGCGTAATCTCACATGAATTTAAGATAATTATTCAGATGCGATGCACGTCTGTTGCCAACAGAAGTTGTTCTCAGGAAAACTAAAACTTTATTGCACTCTTAAGACTTTGTAGGCTATCTGCATTTCTAGAATGAAAGTAAGCTTCACTATCACATTTTGGTTATTTTTAAAAGGATTTCTTTTAGCCCAAGCTGCTGCTGAGGCCACTAATAAGCGAAGTGTGGAAGAAGAAGGAATAGTCAAGGGATGAATAGCATCTTTTAAATTACTGGTGACACCCCTGTTCCAGCTCCCTAAAATCTCAATCAACAATCCATTAGAACTCAACAGGAGTAAAACTAAATCCTCGTTTAAGTGTATTTATCCGATCTCTTTTCTCTCTTTCAAATGCTAAATCCATTTCAGCATATGCCCCTTCTTTCTCTCGCCTTTCTCTAAAGGCTGGCAGCCTATACTTCTCTTGTAAATATGAAAGATGCTAATCATATGACATATCACGTCTCAGTCGGAGCTTGGAATAAAGCCTTGAGATTTGGGATCATTGCCTCCAGACAACAGCTTCATCAGCCGGAAAGTTGGTTTTTTTTCCCCTTTCCTTCAACTCTCAATCCCTTCTTTGTCTGGGGGAAAATGCAGCCAACTCAAGCTACCCTGGCCATATGGTTCACTCTGTATTTTCTTAGTTGAATTCTGAATTGTTTCTGTGACTTGCTAAGGGCTTTTTTTTCCTTTTTCTTTTTTTGAAGTGTGTATAAAGACATAGACGGCCTACTTGTATGGAGACGGCTTTTACGAAGGTGCTGCATGATCTTCATGTGTCCATTTCATATAATCTGCCGCTATTTTGCAGAAACTGCTTTCTGCTGCTGAATGCACTTTTCATCCGTACCCAAAACGGCCTTGATAGTAAGTCCCATTCATTGATTTCTAACACTTTCCACGAGTGTTTCATTCCATGTGATGTACTCTGAATGATGGAGGGTGTGTGTGTGTGTGTGTGTGTGTGTGTGTGTATGAACCTGTCAGATTTTCTTTTCTCTCCCCCCCCTCCCCAATATCTGTTTGTCTATATCTCCTTCTCCTGCCCCCTCCTTCCCCAAGGGCCCTTTCAACAAATCATTAAATTCTACAGAGGTGGTCAAGCCAGGCCTGCTTTTCATGCATTTGGGAAAAGAAAAGAGTCCTTGAAGTTTAGAAGATGCCCAAGGAAAACTCCTTGAATGACATCAAAAGAATGGGTTTCCATAGCTGTTGAAGCACGAGAGCCATGTAAGCTACACAAAGGCGGGTTGGGGCAGTGGGACTGTCCCGCTGCTCTATCCCAGCACAATTGGGTCACTGAAATAGGGAATTAATTACCATTGGAGAGTGGGCAGCCCATTCACCACTGCCTGAGTTTTATTAAACGCCAATATAAATAACAAAACAACTCTTGTGGCTGCACTATTCCTACACGCCAAAGGAAGGATTAGCTTGGGGATTAACATCTTAAAGTCTATGAGACTTTCTGACTCAAGGCTCGGAGCTGGTAATCGTATTTGTCTCCTGGTTCAGCGATTAGTGCTCTCTCACTCGCACCTTCGCCTGCCTGCCCAATGTCCCTTTTTGCAGGCTTGTCTCTCTGGGCTTCTGGCTGCTTCTCTTCTCACAATCGGCTGTTCTTTTGGCCACATCTATAGAAGAAAGGAAAAGGGAAACTGCGTCTTGGCCGTGCAATCCTCGAGTTTCTGGGAAAGCAGGGTGGGGTGGGGGAGCTTATTGGGGTTCCTGGGGAGGGAAGAGCCTGCCGCCCTGGGAGGAGAAAGCGAGGGAGGGGCTGGAGTTTAAAAATCACTATGTGGAGGGCTGCACCTGCCATGCAAATCGGGAAGCAAACAATCAGAGAGCTACCACATTGTGGCTCTGGCGGGGAGAGGGGTGGGGAGCAGAGAGAATAGTTGCAGGCAAGGGATGCCTCCAAGCTACATGGGTATAGGCATCTCCCAGTGAGACCAGGGAAGGGCGCCCATCTGTCAAGCTGTTTTTTCTGCAAAGAAAGTAAAAGAACATTGCTGTGCCCTCCTCCATAAAAAAAACAAAAAACATTTATCTGCTGTATGTTTTTGAGTGTAGTGCCTGGCTTTAGCAAATGGGTATGGAAAAAAATATGTCATTACTAGCTTGAGTTCAGTATGTAAAAGATGTCCTAAGGGATTTTTCACAAATAACCTTTTGGTTCACGCACAGAGGAAGCTTGTTCCACAAATGAATCAAATTATTTTGCCGAATCCAAGACTGAGCCCTGTCAGGGCTGATCACATCTGTGCCTGCACTGAAATTAAGAGTGGTATTCAAGTTTTACTCTGAGTAGACCTTTTGAAATGAATGGACCTAGCTTAAATACCACTATAAGCCCTCATTGCTGCAGGGTAATTCATGGCAGATTCTCATGTTCTGCTTTGCGCCTGGAAACAATCAATAAAAAGCATCTGCACCCTTCTTGAATATCGAAGATCTTTCATAGGCAGGTGTAGATACCAGTATGGGGGCAGACCGTGTGCAAGTCATCCATGCTTCTATGTATTTTAAGAGGAGAAGTGGTGACTTTTTTTACAGATAGCTGTGGACCAGGGATCTCTTTTAAAAAAA